CCCCCCCGCCCCCTGGTATATGGCGTGCCCCCCCCCCCCCCCCCCCCCTTACCTATTTAATACTATACCCGGGGCCCGGCATAGCGCGTCACACGTAGGGAATGCCCCAACAAACACACATCTTGAATTTTGACTTTTAAAGTGGCTTGGTCTAAAGTGTGAAAAAGCCGACAAGACTTTCCTTTAAAAAAGATTGAGACTTTCAATGCTTACTTTTAAAATCAAGAACCTTAGGAAAAGATGAATTATCCATACGGACCTCAAAATTATATCCTCTAACGTGGAAGTCGAATTTTTGAATTTCATACTTTACTGAAAAAATCTCCTTGTAGATGGTGTGATAGTGTTTTTCTGATTATTTGAACACATAGCATGTATACGCCTAGTACACCTGTTTTGATTACCCCAAGTCACTTGAAGATATCACAGATCACCTTGTTAAGGTTCTGTGCAGAGAAAATGGACACCAGCCAAAGCCTGTTTTCCAACATGTATCAACTTTGCAATAGCACCACCCACCGAGATCGAACAGACAACCGCTATCATCGCTTTAAAGAAAGTGGCCCAGTCACCTCCACCGCTGAAGATTCCAAGTACAGGGAAAAGAGTCTTGCAGACAGATGCAAATGATCATTATTGGGGAGCCATTCTCATAGAAGAAGATAAAGACAAGAAGCACTATTGTAGACATGCCAGTGGCTAGTTTAAAAAATTAGAAAAACACTATCACGCCATCTATAAGGAGATTCTTACGGTAAAGTATGGAATTCAAAAATTCGACTTCCACCTTAGAGGATATAATTTTGAGATCCGTATGGATAATTCATCTTTTACTAAGGTCTTTGATTTTAAAAATAAAATCCTTCATGATCCGCAATTACTCAGACTTAAAAATTGGTTTGCAAGATATGATTTTTCTGTCTTGATTCTGTTGCAAATATTGGTTAGGTAATAGAAGAGGTGGGTTTTGGCATAATACTGGATTTGGTCAGGTTTGGCTAAACTATCTAAACCAAGAGGCAAACGATGGTCTGATTTTACAGGAAAACACAGTGGTATATGGATATTGGTAGCCGTGAGGATGAGAGGAAAGGTCTGCAAGCTCTTTTCTTTTTCCTCCTGCTGCTTGGACGATCATCTTCAAAGTCCATCTGGCAGTCACAGTCTGGGCCACACATAGGGGGATCACTATCCCATATGAAGTGACCATCAATTTTGTCTATGAAAATCTTAGACCCATCTGCTGTAAAGCATTCTGAGTTTGCCATTTTAGAACTTCTGCTTGAGTTGGAGGCTTTGTTCTCCCGTCTGGTTGCATCTATGTTGGCTGGACATATGGTCTGGAGACCACTTTGGTTGCCTGGTCTACTTGCCTTTCGAGAACTGGAAAATCTCGATCATATGATAAAAACATCATACACGGTGTCGTTCCTGATAGCTTATCTCCAATACTAGACCTACCGTTAAAGAATACGTCCAGTCCTCTAAACTTGATAAGTGTCTTACCCCAGTACCTCTCAAGAACGATACATTGACCTTGACACTCACAAAGTCAGATTGGGCTTGCCAGGCCTTCTATGTAAAAAAGAAATCAAAATAGATCCGGAGAAAGAAAATGCTAGTATTGATTACAAACCTTTGAACCTGTTCCTAAAAGATGATAAGTTTCTTATTCCAAGAACCAGCTCCCTATTCACGTCTTAGATGGTTCTATGTCTGATTCTGAGATTGAGGCTGTTTCTATTCTTGAGGAGAGTGCTATGCAAGCAGGAGTATACTCTTGGGTTTTCCTTTTGTCTTTTGCTGCGGGTTTAGCCTTTTGTGGAGCAGGTTCATCTTTTTATGAGAAAAGACTCATTCTAGTAGTCTTTGATTTTGAAGAAGTTGGCTTAGTTGAACTTATTCCTAAAAGATGATAAGTTCCCTATTCCAAGTTTGACCTCAAAGGAGCATTCTAGCAATTAGGGATTGATCAAAAGATAGGCCCAAAACAACCTTCTACATTCCAAATGCACAATAATCCTTGGAAGCTCATTGCCAGACGAAGATCTTCTTGTTGGAATGGATGTATATTGTCAAACAAAGAATCTTCAAATCCTTCCGACAAGATTGAAGTATAAAAGGCAATTTAAACCTTATTCAACCATTCCCAAGATGTTTTCTATCAAGGAAGCTCCAATTGATTATGAATAAATCAAGAACAAGCTGCTGAAATGTTATGCCGACAGCCATGATCAGTTCCAATTGCAAATACTGGTTAGGTAATAGAAGAGGTGGGTTTTGGCATAGTACTGGATTTGGTCAGGTTTGGCTAAACTATCTAAACTAGGAGGAAAACGATTGTCTGATTTTACAGAAAAACACAGTGGTGTATGATGTTGGTTCTTCAATTATGGGAGAAGATTCTCTCATAGATTCTCCTATTTTTCTATGGGTCTGTTGATCATTAGACCATGTGGAAGTAGCCATTAACAGTCGCGTGATGTCCATGGTTGCTTCTTCAGACTCTTTTGAGCTAGTTTCTGCTTCAGATGAACTGTCTGATGTCTCATATGGTTCTGTGTATGATTCTGAGATTGAGGTTGTTTCTATTCTTGAAGAGAGAGCCATGCAAGCAGGAGGATACTCTTGGGTTTTTCTTTTATCTTCTGCTGCGGGTTTAGTCTTTTGTGGAGCAGGTTCATCTTCTTCTGAGGAGAATCAGACCAAGATGATTTCAGCCCTAAAGAAGCAAAAGAGGAAGAAGTAGACTATCACATTCCAGTCAACAACATGAAACAATGTTTCATAACTGTTCCAACTTCAAAATATGATAATCCAGTAAACTTGGTTGCTTACATAGATACTGGTGCAGGAAGAACAATGATGAATCCAAAAGTCATTCCACATGATACCCAAAATGGTGGCTCGGCGACTTCACAAGAGTCATGTGAAGAAGGAGAAGATTGTGATATAAGGGATTGGAAGGAAGAAGAATAAGAGGGGAAACACATACACCACCATGGATTCTCATACCCAGAAATCAACCCAGCTTTTAGAACCGGCTAGCATGGATAGATTTACAGATGACAAAACCCGGAGCAGAACTACAAGCTATCCTCAGGAAATTTGCCTCCAGATTCACCGGTACCCTTAGAGATTGGTTTCAAAGTCTTTAAGGATACAAACAACTCCAGCTCATCAAAGCAGACGCTGTAATAGGAATTCTTAGACTCATATACATGGCTGTCGGCATAGCACTTTAGCAGCTTGTTCTTGATTTCTTCATAATCAATTAGAGCTTTCTTGATAGAAAACATCTTGAGAATGGTTGACTAAGGTTTAAATTGCCTTTTATACTTCAATCTTGTCCGAAGGATTTGAAGATTCTTTGTTTGGCAATATACATACATTCCAACAAGATGATCTTTGCCTGATAATCCTACTATCATCCAACCAAAGCTGTCATTCCACCAGAGACTCCAAAAGAAGAAGAGGGATGATCAATTTTCAAAGTTTTTGGATGTCTTCAAAAAAATTCATATCAATATTCCCTTTGCGGACGCCCTTGAGCAAATGCCGAACTACACAAAATTCATAAAGGATATAATGTCAAGGAAGCGGAAATTGGAGGACTATGAGACAGTTAAACTCACGGAGGAGTGTAGTGCAATCCTCCAACGGAAGCTACTGCAAAAGCTTAAGGATCTCGGCAGTTTCACCATCCCATGTACAATTGGGGGGTCAACTTTTGAGAGAGCTCTTTGTGACCTAGGGGCGAGCATAAACCTCATGCCTCTATCGGTTTTCCGGAAACTAGGGCTTGGAGAGGTCACCCCGACTACTATCTCACTGCAAATGGTGGATAGGTCCCTTACCTATCCAAGGGGAATCATTGAGGATGTTTTGGTGAAAGTTGACAAGTTCATTTTCCCGGTTGATTTTATTGTGTTAGATATAGAGGAGGATAAGGAGATTCTCATGATTCTTGGGAGACCTTTTCTAGCTACCGGAATGGCCTTAATTGATGTGCATAGTGGGAATTTGACTTTGAGGGTCAATGAGGAAGAAGTCAACTTCAACATCTTTAATTCATTTAAGTTTACAATGCTTCCCCTACTTATTATGAGTATCATTGCTATGAAGTGGCAATGATAATTTTTAGCTTTTATTCTAAATTAACACGTTATGTCACTAACAAGTAACTACTCTGTCAAGATGAAAGGAAAAAAGAAAAGAAGAAGAAATACAATGAATAGGTGAAGTTGTAACGTATACTCATATAAACTTTTTGGGTCTGCAAGACTTTCTTGAAGGATCATTATGGGAACACCTTGCGGGACCACATGTACACTTATTTTCTTTGCATTTGATCTGTAAATAGGGTTTCCTGCATGCCTTCTTGAATTTGGATCTTTTAGTCCTCTCCAGTTGTCACATGCCCCGCAAAAATCTTATGCTATATAAATCTTGTCCTTTTGTCTCACAAGTTGCCATTCACTCTGTCAAAAGTAGTTTTCATCTTTTGTAAAATAAGTCAAAAGTGGAATAGTGTGGTGTCCACTTTGTCAAAAGTATCAGGCTGTCCTCAGGGAATTTGCCTTCAGATTCATCGGTGCTCTCAGAGATTGGTTTTAAAGTCTTGGAGGATACAGACAACTCCAGTTCATCAAAGCTGACACTGCACACAACAACAATAACAACCCTTAATCCAAACTTCAAATCAGACACTGCAGTAAGAATTTTTCCAAATTTCAATATTCCACCAAAAGACTCACACTTGTCCCCATGTCTCAAAGTCTAACTTCAAATCTCTGGTGTGGAGCAAGTCTCATCTTCGTACATAGCTACACTCCATCATCAGCTCATCTATAGACTGCAGAATCATGCACGAAAACTACTTTTGACAAAGTAGACGGCATACTATTCCACTTTTGACTTATTTTACAAAAGATGAAAGCTATTTTTGACAGAGTGGATGACAAACTATAAGAGCTACAACCAGAATTACAAAGATCTCTCCTTGCTACAAAGAGAGAATTAAAGGTTGTCTCCATCGGAGAAATTCATCAACTAGCATTGACAGCCCTCAACAAACTCTGTGAAACACAAGAACTATTTTCCTCAATGATGAACAAGAGGTGATGACTTGGACTGATTTTGGTCGAGCTAGGAAATCATGAATGAGATTGTGGTTGCCTTTTATATGCTTAACAGAAAAATCGTATCTTGCAAACCAATCTTTAAGTCTGAGTAATTGCGGATCAGGAAGGATTTTATTTTTAAAATAACCAATGACCAGCTATTGGCTTGGAGAACGTATTCTCTTATCGCTGTTCAGTGTCAGTTGGTTCTTCAATTATAGGAGAAGATTCTCTCATTTCTCCATGGGTCTGTTGATCATTAGACCCTATTGAAGTAGCCATTAACAGTCGCGTGACGCAGATTGGGATCATTGAATTCATTGAGCAAGTAGTATCTCCGAGACATTCTTTGATAATGAAATTTCATTTCTTTCTTTTTTAAATAGCAACATTTCATTTCAAAGTACTCCAATCTTATCCGACAGGATAAGATTCACTCCAAAAATGCCCAATGGCCAAGTTAGCGGTCAAGTGTGAGCAGAACTGTAGGAATGCATGAGGTTGATTCGTTGGTCGCTCTTTCAGCACAAGTATCAGCTTTGACCAACATGATATCTGAGTTGACCACGAGGAAAGCCTCATCAAGTAAGGAAGCAACTATGGTCACAAGTACATCCTATGGGGGTGAAGGTAGTGATACTGAACAAGTGCAGTACGTGAACAACAAAAACTTCAATTACAGAGCCAACAACATGCCTAGCAACCTGCCAACTCATTATCACCCCGGACTCCGAAACCACGAGAACTTCTCCTACAGCAACAACAGGAACGTGTTGCAACCTCCTCCGGGGTATAGTCAACCAGCAACTCAGCCTAAAGTATCGATAGAAGAGCTGTTGGGCACAATCATTGTAGAGACAAGGGGGCGGTTCAACAAGAATGAGGCTAGACTTGATAGTATTGAGACTCATTGCACCAACATGAATGCCTCTATAAAGTCTATGGAGATGCAGATCTCCCAGCTCGCCAATTCTATCAAGAGACAATCATCAGGGAACTTCCCGAGTGATACTGAGAAGAACCCAAAGGATCAATGCAAAGTCATCACCTTGAGAAGTGGAAGCGAAGTGGAAAGCCCTAATCGTCAAGATGAGAAAGTTAATGAAGAGAACACCACACCAGTGGAAGAGCTTGAGAAGAAAACTAGTGATGAGTAGAAAAAGGAGTAAGCACTCAAAGTGAATCCGGGGTCAATTTCTTTTCTGGACAATCCTCCTATCATCCAACCAAAACTGTCATTCCCCCAGAAACTCCAAAAGAAGAAGAGGGATGATCAATTTTCAAAGTTTTTGGATGTTTTCAAAAAGATCCAGATCAATATTCCCATTGCATACGCCTTTTGAGCAAATGCCGAATTACGCAAAATTCATGAAGGATATAATGTCAAGGAAGCGGAAATTGGAGGACTATGAGACAGTTAAACTCACGGAGGAGTTTAGTGCAATCCTCCAACGGAAGCTACCGCAAAAGCTTAAGGATCCCGGCAGTTTCACCATCCCATGTACAATTGGTGGGTCAACTTTTGAGAGAGCTCTTTTGCGACCTAGGGGCGAGCATAAACCTCATGCCTCTATCGGTTTTCCGGAAACTGGGGCTTGGAGAGGTCACCCCGACTACCATCTCATTGCAAATGGCGGATAGGTCCCTTACCTATCCAAGGGGAATCATTGAGGATGTTTTAGTGAAAGTTGACAAGTTCATTTTTCCGGTTGATTTTGTTGTGTTAGATATGGAGGAGGATAGGGAGATTCCCATCATTCTTGGGAGACCTTTTCTAGCTACCGGAAGGGCCTTATTTGATGTGCATAGGGGCGAAGATCTTCCCCGGAAAGTTGAAGTTCAGATGGTCAGGACCGTTTAATGTCAAGAATGTGTCTCCATTTGGGGCTGTTGAACTCGAAAGAAATGATGGTCGCACGTTTCGAGTTAATGGGCAACGATTAAAACACTACTTCGGAGAGAAATTCAGAACGTTGCCAACATTCAGTTTGAAGAATTGAAGCGGTGAAGTTGTGTTCATGTCCAGTTAAGGGACGTTAAATCAAAAGCTTCTTGGGAGGCAACCCAAGTTTCTACCCATTTATTTGTTTTGATTTTAGATTATTTTAGTTTGATTTGTTGAACATTGAGTTATTTTGTTGATAATTTTTTGTTATTAGATTCTTATAGTACAATTTTTATGGTAAGTATTGGTAAAAATATTTGTGGTTGATTGTAGGTCATTGGAGGTCACAAAATTTCCAGAGGCTAGATTTGTGTCAGGCTGGAGCGTGACCACCGCGCTTAGGCGCGCCTGAAGAGGGCTAGAGACGAAAAAAAAGGGCTCAGGCCCGCTCTGCAGCCCACCTATAAATGGAAACTCATGAAACCCTAGCCCTATTTCTGCCTCCCTCTCAAAATTCTCAGCCTCCATCCGAAATTTCTCTCCTAAATCCTCACTTTTCATCAGAAATCATCCAATATTTCTCCCTTAAAAAAAAGAGAAAAAAAATGCCGCGGAAAGTGAATGCTAACCGGATCAAGCTCGGTACGAGCTCCAGCAACCGCCCACCTATCCTTGCCCCGGTAGAACTCCATGCCCCAACAGTACCTCCTCTCGATTACGACAACACTCGGTTTGTATCGAAGGATGCATAAAAATAGTATGAAAGACACAACAAGAATCGGGACTGCATACGAGAGAGGGGATTCGAAACAAGATACGAGGGGTTGCCGCCGGAAATCGCTAAAGTTATTCGGGATAGGGGCTGGCAAAAATTTTGTTCTGAGCCGATTGCGGGATCCACTACTCTCGTTCGCGAATTTTTCACAAACGCGAGAAAGTGTACCAACAGCAAGACCAAGGTGAGATGGCAAGTGATTAAATTTGACGCCGAAACAATTAACAATCACTTTGGCATCCCCACCCCCAGTATTGATCAGCAACAAGACTCTCCGGACCGAGATCCGCAGGCAATTCTGGAAGCCCTTTGCGACGGGCCTGCGAGGTGGACAATAAAGAATAACACTGAATCCGCCTTTGAGGTTAAATATATGACGAACTACACCAAGGTGTGGTTCCATTTTGTCTGCGCTAGGCTTATTCCTTCGACTCACATCTCGAAAGTCACAAAAGAGCGGGCATTGGTCTTACTAGCAATTGAGAGAGGAGAGCCCTTGAATGTGGGGGCCATCATCAACAACGGCATCCACCATGTCCTAGGACACAACATAAACCTCATGCCTCCCATTCCCGTGGTTGCTGACGGAACTTGTTCTGGCCGCTAGAGTGGCTATTCCGGATGAACATCTTAATAAGCCCATTCGGGCTTTTGATCTCAACGACATCATCCGGATCACTTCTGGCCGGGCAGCATCAGAGCAAGATGAAGGAGGAGCAGGATCATCGCAGCCCCCGTTGCCAAAGCGGAAGGGGAGGGCCTCTATGTCTCGCGAGGACCTCGCTTGACGGGTTGATCGACATGAGGAGCAGATTGTCAATCTACAGAGTTAGTCAGCCTGGGGGAAATTTATGGATTGTATCAATACTTGTTAATATGTTTGTGTTTTCGTTTGTTTATTTGGAGTGTTTAATTTAGATTCTGTGTTGATCATTTTGTTTATTCAGTTTGTATTTGTTAGCTTGTTTATTTAGTTTGTTTATTTTAATATATATATATTTAAAAAAATTCTTTCTAGTGAGTTGTTTTTCTGCTCCTGATGATCAATGAACCAATAATGACATTATCTCCTAATTTTCCTGAGTTTTTGTGCAATGTGTCGTTTGTGAATTCTGTGTGCTTGACAATTGGTGAACATGAAACACTCTAGTTCTCGCAATAAAAGACTTTATCACTACTCATTTAGGGATCTAGAAGAAAATTATTCAATTAATCAAGTCCGCGGTACATTAAGGATTCTATAACTCAACTTAGGGAAACTCGAGGCGAAATCTTAGGCTAGCTAGTCAGCAGAGAAATAATTTAGGCGTTTCTCTGCTGACTAGCTAATTTAGGCGTTTCTCTGCCTAAA